TGGCTATCTGAGGTCTTTTGTGCTTCCATATGAATCTCAGGATGGTTTTTTTCCAATTGTATGAAAAAGGTCATGGAGATTTTGATTGGCATTGCATTGGATCTATAAATGGCTTTTGGTAGGATGGTCATTTTCACAACATTAATTCTTCCAATCCATGAACATGGGAGGTCCTTCAATCTTCTGATGTCTTCCTCAGTCTCTTTCTTTAAGGATTTAAAATTTTCATTGTAGTGGTCTTTAATGTCTTTGGACAGGTTTATTCCCAGATATTTTTTTTGCAGCTATTGTGAAAGGGAGTGTTTCCATGTACTCTTTCTCTGATTGCTTGTTATCAGTATATAGAAAGGCTACAGGCTTTTGTATATTAATTTCATAACCTGAGAATGTGTTAATAATTTCTAGGAGTTTGCGCGTGGAATTTTTGGCATCCCTTTTATATAATATCATATCATCTGCAAAAAGCGATAATTTGAGCTCTTCTTTTCCAATTATTACTCCTTTAATTTCCTTTTCTTATCTTATTGCTCTTGTAAGAGTTTCAAGTACTATGTTAAAGAGAAGTGGAGATAGTGGGCAGTCTTTTCTGGTTCCTGATTTCAATGAGAGTGCTGCCAGTTTTTCTCCATTTAGAATGATGTTGGCTGTGGGTTTGTTATATATGGCTTTAATTGTGTTGAGGTATGTTCCCTCCAGTCCAATTCCCTCTAGGACTTTGAACATAAATGCATGTTGAATTTTGTCAAAGGCCTTCTCTGCATCTCTTGAGATGACCATGTGGTTCTTGTCTCTGAGCCCATTTACATGATTTATGACATTTCTTGACTTATGTATATTGAACCATCCCTGCATCTCTGAAATAAAGCCAACTTGATCATGGTGGATGATCGTTTTGATGTGTGTCTCTATATGCTGTTTGCAAGTATTTTGTTGAGAATTTTTGCATCTATGTTCATTAAGGATATGGGTCTATAGTTTTCTTTTCTTTTTTTTTTTTTTGGTCTTTTTGAGACATGGTCTCCCTGTAGCCCCAGCTGACCTGGAACTCACTATGTAAACCAGGCTGGCCTTGACCTCTACCTCCTGAGTGCAGGGATTAAAGGCGTGCACCACCACACCCGGCTCTAGTTTTCTTTTTTGGTTATATCTTTAGCTGGCTTTGGTATTAGAGTGATGCTGGCTTCGTAGAAAGAATTTGGAAGTTCTCCCTCCATTTCTATCTTTTTGAATAACTTAAGTAGTATTGGATGTAGATCCTCTTTAAATGTCTGGTAGAATTCTGCTGTAAATCCATCTGG